TTTCGACCTTCGGATATGCATTCATAACAGATATTCTCTAACCTACGACAAGGCTAAGATAGAACAAAAACTCGTCGGAAAAGGTTTTTCGTTGAATATTAAGTCTTATTATAGAGTATTTCTCGACCAGTTCTGCCACAGATTCTGCTCTGGCTAGGTCAACGGAGGATTATAAAAAACGAGAAAAAGGCAAAGCAATGCCCTCAGTGGCGCCCTGAGTAACATGCCAGCCCCGGAAAGGTGATCGTGGTTCGATCTAGTCTGGGGTGCAAACTTTGCGAATATCTCAGTATCATTGTGATGGTATTTCACATCATGCCATGCCTTGAAAAATTATGCTAGGCGACAAATAAAAGGCCAAAATTACAAAAAATACAACCATGACGATGCTAAGATATTTGCTTAACTCGGGACCGTAGGTGTTCGTGGTGGGTATCGAACCCACTATTTTATAACACGGAGTTTCGCGAACATCTCAACATCATCACGGTTGAATATCACATAATACTCTGCCGTGAAAAATTTTATGAGCAGCAAATAGAAAGCTAAGTCTCTTTGAACCGATATCCATATCTTGCTGACGGGCGATTGCTGATGGCAGCGTTAGTTAGAAAACTAGCTGAGAGAAGCGCAGACCAAAGGCCTCAGTGGTGTAGTGTGTACTACGCGATCTCCCGGCAAGGATAATCGTATTTCGATCTGGTCGGGGTCCAAGCTTTGCGAATATCCCAGCATCGTTGTAGTTAAAAAGCTGGGGTTATAAAAAATATTTCTAAAAGGCTTATAGTGGAGAAATAAGCAAGTTAGAGAAAATGAGTCCCGCACTAATTGTTCTGCATGAGCGTAATAAACAAGAGTTAACATTTAAGTAAAACAAATGTAAATTAACATTTAAGTAACACCATTTTAACTTCGTTAATTTGGTCTTTCTAAGGCACTAAAAAAGCGAAACCGCTAGAACGTCGGCCAGTATTGAGTAAATCTTGTTATTAACAACTTTGTATCTTTACAAGAAGAAAACATTGCCTGTTATAATGTTTGGACTGAATACTTAGCGGAAAAGTCAACGTCGAAACGGAAACAGTGAAGGTAGTTGTGAATCGAAAATATAAGCGCCCAATAATAGTGACGTTTTTCTCTATGACTGACACTTATCTACTTATGTCATTGATAAAAGTAGTAAGTTCACTTAATTTCTTGACAGCTATTAGTTATTCCGACGTAGTTAACGTCATCATATTGTGAAAGCGAGCAACCCTTAGTATAGGAGGATATTTCTTGATGAAGAATGATTAGGTCTTGTAACGAGAATACCAGGATTCATTGTTTTTATTTAACGAGTAAACACGAGGTTGGTATTATAGAATTCATTATTACAATAGCTGAAGTTTGGGCGATTTCGCCTTCTTCATAGCTTAGAAAGGTCAGATTGATTTGCAATGTACTCAGCCGAAGACTTTCATAACCTCAGTAGAGAAAATTTAAGGTATAAGTTTTCATTCGCACAATAAAAGAGCTTTTTTTAAACACTCAGTTTCTTCACTGTTCTCTTCATGATGAAATACGAGCTTAGTATTTTATTCTTTATTTATAGCTGATGTTTCGGCGAATTTCGCCTTCCTTAGAGCTTGGAAGAGAAAGGGTTGCAGTCAATGCGACCTTTCCATGCTCCGACAATGACAAAAGCGGAATCCGTCGAAACGTAGGCTTGTTTGCAAGTAAAGAATAAAATAGCCACCTCGTTTCCGCTCATAAAGAGAAAAACGAATCGTTCGATCAATGCCGAGGTTAATTGAAAACCGGTTGTGGGAATCATTTTCCATTTTCCTCTTTGCAAGTCTTCCAGTTATTTGGTGGAGACCAGTCTCAGTGATCCTTCCATGGGTGAGGAGTGTGCCTGGCTCAAGTTAAAGAATCAGGCTGAGTTCTGGTATTAGGGTACGCATGTTTACAAAACACTTCTTGCGGTTCATTTTCGGATTTTTGGGGTTTATTTCAGAAGATCCGCGAGTTCCACGCGCATGCAGTGTGCACGAATTTGAACCACTAAACAACCATGGACAACAAAAAGTTGAGGCATTACCACCACCGCCTTTCCCTTTGACGTTCTTCGAACACCAAAAACCCAGTGGTGAAATAGAAATCAATTTTCGCATATTTTCGGACGAGGCTTTCGAAGTCCTTAACCATTATACCGATAAACAGAGTTTAATTCCAACCTTAAAGCAGCGCAAAAATGTGGTATGGGATAGGTTTGGAAACTAATATGATCAAAAAACTATTAGACTTTCAGGTATCTAGAAGGGTGGAGAGTTCGTAGTAATTCCCCTTCAATTAGATGCTGAAACAACAGAAAAACACACTGACGCAGCTTCCATTTATCGCCTATCAACTGAAAAAGAATCCAAAAGCCAATACCGAGAATTGAACACTGAATAGTTTAAAGTGGTAAACGCAGGTGATCTGAAACCATTAATTATTTCGAAAATTAAAATTTAACTACCAACATATCCCGTCTTATACTTAGTTAACAAGACTCACAATTTAGCATCCACTAGTAATCTGGCGTCCATCGATCTCTCACCCTTTGAGGTTAACATCAGTTGTGTAGAGGTTTCCACGGATGAAATAGCTTGTGTGATAAACCTAACTGTTATCCGCTTGGTGGAAGACAAACCAACCTATCTCATGAACAACGAGTAGGACTAAGATTATCTCCGTAACACGCGACCTATCATCGTTTGTGTGATGGAGTCGCTTCAGCCCTTTATTAACGTATTAAGTGACTTTACAATGACAGCCATCCGGGAGCTTCTTATGCAGCAGCTAAACAGGTTCATCCCCAGATGGTCCGGAAAATATTGCGCACAAATTAGAAAGTTGGCAAGGGGACAGCGACTGAAATCACTCCTTGTCCCCGCCTTTACGTGTGAGGTGGAAGGGCAGTAATCGATCTCCTGCCAATTCTCTACTGTAGATATATAGATGATTCTTACCGCATCTGCTCCACACTGGACGGGATACAATATTTCGAGTTATCGAAAGGACAATCACAGTATACAACAATCAGCCAAGAGAAACCATAAAAAACTAGCTTTCATTTCCGATCCCTCAAATTAACCTATCCAAAAGTGGTTACATAATTAAGTGGTAACGAAACAATTAACAAAAATGCACTGATTCATTACCTCTCCTCTAAACCATACACAAAAAGGAGATTGTGAAAAACATGGTTAGGACAGCCACTAGTGCGTGCACAGGAAGAGAGCAGAAGGAAGAATCTTTGAAACTGGCACGGCAAATAGCCATTTCTAATTGCTACAAAACTGTAGCTCTTCGAAATAGAAAAGAAAGAAATCACACTCTCGAAAGATAATTCTAACGAGAGAAAGAATTTTGTACTTTGTCATTCATTCCCAGAAGAGCCGCGCGTAGCACAGCGGCCAGAGGCCCTTGCAGGACGCTTGAGCGCCCGCATCTCAAGCTCACCAAGCTTTCCATCAATCCAGGTCGGGAAATTAGTACCAGACTTTTCTGGGAAGATACCAGCACCGATTCGATACATTGGTAAGTCAGGGCAAGTCATTGTTTAGGCCAGATATGCATTCAATCACCCCTAACGATGCTTAATAAAATCGAATCCATGGCGCATCGCTCAGGGATTCATCAACGTCGACAGCTTTTTCCTTCATTTATCCTTTATTCATTTCCAACAAAATAAGTGCAGCGGTAAAATGTTGCTTGAAAAGAGCTCGTCTAGCGAGATCGGTAACCGGTATTGAAATACCACTGATCACTCTCAGACTCCAACTAGTTCGTAACCTACTAAATGACCGTCTATGCGCAGCGCAAAAGAACGTAATATTCCCTGACAGTAGAAATGTTGATTACGTGAATCAGGGTAAGGTGCACCTAATCTCTTGTAAAACGTGTGGGGACGTATGCGTTAGCGAAAGGAGTAAATCACTGTGCATCCTTATAAAAGAACCTCTAGTCGCTAAATTCAATGTTAAACTAAATACTCCGCTTGGTGAGCATAGGACTCAGATACATAGCAGAGGAGATTTTGAAGGAAAGTCACTAGCCTCGCAGAGGAAGCCCGAACATCAACGCGTAAAACCTTTGAGGCGTTTTAGATAACAGGATAGTGGGACAAAACTCTCGGCGTTGATCAATCTCTGAGGGATGCGCTATGCACTCGACTTCATTAAGTATCGCTGGAGGTGATTGAATGCATATATAGCTTTTACAATGACTCACGGTGGCTTACTGTTCTATCGAGCTAGTGCTGCTATCCTTCCAGACAAGACTGTCACCAATTTGCCAACTCCGGCCAAACCAACCACTGCGTGTTTTGGATAATTCCCAAAAATCCAAAAATGGACCGAAAGAAAGACTGTCTTGTGATAGCGCACGATTTACTGCCATATCTCAGGCCGATTTTTAAGCCAAAGTCATGTACATTTTTTGCCTGTGTAAGACTGTGTGCGTCTGGTCTCCATCAACGCGGCGGGTGTTTAAAAAAAGCTGTTTGTTGTGCCAGTGCGAATTTATGTGTTGTAATTTGTTTGTTGATGTTATGAAAGTTTTTGGTTGAATAGATTTCATGTCAATTTGACCTTTCGAGGCTCTGAAGAAAGCGAAACCGCCGAAACGTCACATATTCTGTATTAATAACTGCTGCAATAACAACATCATATTTGCTTGTCGAGAAAAACGGGAAATGTTAAGTCTTTGCCTTAAGATTTAGTTCAACTTGTCGACTAACTGTAGTGCAAGTTGAAGCCGTTTTATTGGAATATAATCGTGAAATAAGAAATATATAAGTGGTGCTTTTCATTTTCGCTACCATTGTATTTATTGTAATCATGCTCTAGTTCTGTACAGCTATTGGATTTGCAGATTTTCAAACTGGATGGAAAACTTTATTTCATTTGAAACACCAGTGTACCGAGGAAAAGCAAAACATGCTTGCACATAACTGTAAATACATATTACAGTCACCAATCTGACCCTACATTACCAATATAGACGTTTAGTTGAGAATTCGGTGTTGCATTTCCGATGGATGGTGTGTCGATTTTCTATAAATAGTGACGAAGGTATTTACGCTTCGAAATCTTGAACGCAATTAGTCGCTGCTACGTAGGTGTAATTTTTACATAAACGCTTTTTTGGGAGTCTAAATTGCATCCCTCCCAACGGTTCACCCCCTCATCGTGGCTGGGAAGTGTTCCTGGGTGCCGGGCTGCAATTTACAGAGGGGAATGGGGATTCATCACCCTCGCAGGGTCCCCCAAACTAAGAAGGAGTCTGGCGTTTCCATCAGGTAGCCTAGCTAAGGGTAAACCAATACCAGAGTCCAACACCGTCTTGGTATCAAAGTCGTGTGGTGGGAAATCTTCTTTCGATCCAGTAGAGCTGCGATTGCCCGTACTGGTGAAGACCTGGGGCGGACTTTGGCCAACCTGACCTCAGGATTCCAGGGAACCGCGATAGCTTAATCAGCAAGTCTCCGAAAAACGGAGATTATGCTGGGGCGCGCACAACCATTGAGGACGGGCCCCAGCATTTAAGTATTGAGTGTCTAGTAAGTAAATTTCATCTACCTAACTAGCGTCAAAGAAATCTCACCTGAATGAGCGCTTTATGTACACATTGTAAAATCTGAGACCATTTTTCACGTGTATAAAGATTGCGATATTCGGGTTGTTTAGAAATTTCATTCAGCTCTTCTATACTATTCGCCATTAAAAGTTGTTGTCTTAAAATCGGATCCCGTATAATCAGTTGTCGCCATCTACCTAAAACTGTAAGCACACATGTTTTCGTTAACACTTCTTTTTAGCTTCCTTCTCCTATTATTTTAGCAGTAAGCACAAGAACAGTATAACAACAACTTTTTCTGATTGGACTGGGATCCTAGCGGCTTTAGAATTTTTTCCAAAATGCGCACAGTTGAGAGGTAAAATTACATTGGACCCGCCTAGCTCCTGCTCTGTCAGTTTTCGAGCTCCAAATCCTCGAATGGCTAATACGCACTTTTCCAGCACCTCTATAGATGAAATATCACGACGTTCGACTAGAAGATCACCTGAAATCTTAATGAGATCTATAAAGTTTAGAAAAAAATTTACAAAGTCATATATAAGTTTTTTCCGTTTCTAAGTCTACGTTATTGCATACTTACCTCTGTGAGAACCATCAGGCTTACCATGTTCTGCTGTCTCAGCGGCATGATATATTTCTGTTATGGATCTATAGGATGATACTCCTGAATCTTCTAGACATCCAGATTCTTGATCCTCTGATGTCACCTATAATGTTCGTAATTTTAATGTAGAATAAGTAAGTAGCTATATTTATACAAACCTTGAGGCTACCTATCGGTGCTGTCCTATTCACAGGCGAGCCAGCTATTAGGCACTGTCTCCACTCTAAGTAACTCTTTGGAAGTATTTGCTGTAACAAAAAAACTTGCACAAAAGGTTTAACAAAACACTATTTATCGCAAATTTGCTAAGACTAGCTTCAAAAAATCCAACAAAAGAATAGACGGGATAAAGCTGGATATCAATATCAAGAATCTTTTAGTAGTTGAAAAATTAGCCTTTGTATGTTTCGAGGCTTAAATTACCACCCACATCGGTACCAATGTCAACGCCTCGCTCACTGAAGATGTCGGTTTCTTTGAGTTCTAAGCGCGATTCGTACTGATTTCGTTGACTATTTCTTCGTGAATGTGCTCGTTGAACGTACTCTTCAAGATTTGACCTGAAAACAACTGAAATTAAGCAGAACGACTAAGGATTAGTTAAACCATCCGTATGCAGATTCAGTTTCGAATTTCAGTACCTTCAATTTAGCAATTTGTTTTTTCAGCTACTTAAATACTATTCACTTGCCTATTTGTAAGCTTTTAGCATATTAAATACTAATTAGTCAAAACAAAGACAAAGAGCTCATTAGTTCAATCCTCATGCGTTGTAAAGCAAGTATTATACATAGCCAGTTAGAGACCACACATAACCTCTTATCTCGCAACTTAAAACGCGTTGAGCAGATTTTTAGTAGATTTTTAGAGTTTTTAGAGTTTACTGGTCGGGTAGATTTTTGACTAGTCGACTAGTGATCCCTCACATGTATGCGTTCCGCGATGACAGGGCAAACGGAGGCTTTACCAATGTCCATTTAGCTACTCAGTGTCTATTGAAGTTATCCATTATGTGAATGAATTCATCTAAATACAACTTTGTAACAAAGTTTCTAAACATTTACACCTCAAGTTCATAGCACTGGAACTCGTACGATCCGCAGTACTCAACTGGTTGACTCTATTTCCTTGTTCAAGAGTGGGTGGAGTGGCTTCAAATTGTTTTCGTCCATGAAATACTGAAGGCCCATAATGTGATTCATTCTAAATAAGTCCGACTAAGCATTATTTGTTTCACCATTGCAATTTCCTTTCATGGTAAATGATTTTAATGGTGCTTACACTACAATCTCTTGAAGAACAATATTGCTCCCTCATCGATTGTGATGCATCCTCCCTGACAACACGTAGCATCACTTGGAAGGAAAACATTCGAAAAAAAAAATCTGTCGAAAGTTTTAGTAAAGACCTATCACTATTTCTTCCAGAGTTTTTCTTGAAAATCCCTCGAGGTTTTGCTGATGGTATCGATGAAGCACTGCGTGTTGCTTGCGCCGCAGTTGATGACGTCTCCTGTGATTCAGCTGGCGAAACAGCAATTGAGTTCTTATGTTGTCTGCGTATACCAATACACTTTATTAGATTGAACAGATATTTTTATAAACAATGTAAAAAGACAAAAATACGTACTCTAGTGTGGAATTAAGATGGTCGTCATGATTGGCTTGAGCACTTCCCCACCAGAGATGGTGAGCGTTGTCTTTGTTAGATCCTATGCAAGCATTTTAAACTGCATAAATATTACGAAATATAGGTAGGTTATTTCAGCCAACAGCTAAATTGTGTTGTCCACAACACACTCACGACTCACGACCAGCGTAGTTTAATGAGTGAGCGCGAAATACGGTACATAAGTGGAAGCAAAAATTACCCGCTGGTATACCGACAAGTAACTTCGACCGGTTCTCATTAGCTATATGACGTCTTCGTAAGCAGACATAAAGACAGGAAAGAATGCATAAAGCCAGTAGTACCGCTCCAAGTAATATCGGTAGAAGCCATGCTGAGAGATTATGACTGGTTCGACTACGTTGGTGGGATCCTGCTCCAGCGCTGAATTTTATTCATAATAGTCTTGAATCTCAAAAACTACTTATCTTAAACAACCTTTTTGAGTATTAAGCTAAGTCTAAAAAGTGGTTGATGTAGGTGATTTTGAACAGTGTGCTTCTCACAGAATAAATAAAAAAAAGACAAAGCTCCGGGCATTGGTCAATCTGTGGGGGATGCGCCACGCATTCGACTTCATTAAACATCGTTAGAAGCGACTGAATACATATTTGGCCTTTACAATGACTCGCGGTGGCCTACCGATGTATCGAGCCAGTGCTGCTATCCTCTCAGACAAGTCTGGTACCAATTTGCCGACCCCGGAGGGATGGAAGGCTTGGTGGGCCATGGGCACGGGGATCGATTCCTCGTGTGCGTTACGGGGCGCCTCCCACCACTGCGCCACACGTACCACTTCTCTTCCAGAATACTAGGGCAGAAACTCAGCACAGAAAAAACATGTGAGGATTTCTTATTTTAAATCTTGGAGGTTTGTGAAAAACCTAGCTTCCTAATTGCATCTACCTGTCTGTATTAGTGTTGCTCTCGATTCTGATGGCATTTTCATCAGGTTTTCCATCCAACCCTCTATCACTATTATCATTGATGCGCTGAGTGGAATCAATTCTGGTCCGATCTGTGACACGTGACGGCGACTGAGGGATTATTGCATTCGGACCACCACGGCGAGCATCTAATAAATTCCTCAAGTCACTATTATGCTCTGAAACCTGAATAATCCCATACCAAAAACTTTCAACAATTTCAGAATTCATAAAACTTTATTCCCTCGAATGAACTTAATAAATACACTTATAGACATGCCACTTGCAAAATATAGTTGTTCCTAAGCCGATCTCACTCTGTTGGATCTATTTCTCCTAACAGTTTATCTCCTCATCGTAAATGGAAGGTGTTCCTGGGTGAAAGGCTGGGATGTATAGTAGAGGATTCATCCCTGGCAGGGTCTCCCAAGACGAGAAGTAGTTCAGTGTTACCATCAGGAGAGTAAACTAATAACAAGATCCATCACTGTCCTGGTATCAAACAAGTCGCATGATGGCAAATCTCCCTCTGATCCAGATGGACGGCGACTTTCTGTGGTGGTGATAACCTGAAGTAGACGTTGGCCACGCTGTCCTCGGGAATCTAGGGAGCTATGATTGCTAAACTAGCAAATCTCCGAAAAATGGAGATTATGCTACGGCCCGCGCAACTAGTGAAGATGAGCCATCTATACATCCAAGTAAGTGTAATACGGATTACGTTATATAGTTGGAGGATAAAGAATAAAGCGTATGGCCTTGATCAATCGCTTAGGGATGGGTCTAGCATTCGACTTCATCAAGTATAGTTAGAGGTGATTAGATGCGTATATGGTCTATAATTTTTGGTGGCCTACTAATCCATTAATTCCATGCTATTTTCCTTCATGATATTTCTGTTACAAAATCTCCAACCCCGAAAGATAGGAAAACTAGGTGATATTAGAGAGCTGGACCGTACCAGTGGTCACGTGTGCTTTGTAGAGCACCTCTATCTCTCATGCTACAAACTCTGCTACATAGCTACAAAGGGTACCTTCAGAACGTGTGTTAGCTTTCTGTCGTTTGAGGAATTCCTCTAGATGGGCGCCAAAATTAACAACATCAAGCCCTCCTAAATTCTTCCTATCCTGAAAGAAAGAAAAAGATGTTTGATGTTATGATAACGTCTAAATGATTTGGACAAATGCAGAGAAATAATGAGCACTGAGGAAAAGGTGGTATGTATTTGAGGAAGAAATTGCACGAAGCACCGAAAACAGTGCGATTTTACATAATAGACTTTCAAAAATGAACAGCGCTTTGGCTTATCAATCCTAGAATGCACGATGTTTTGGTATTTCAATGAGGAACGAATTCATCTGTTTTCGAAAGGAAAAAAAAGCGAGATATGGATGTATAGTTAGGTTCCTGGCTGTGTTACGTTCTTACTGAAATGCGGATTCAAAAGCCTTGCAGAATCCAACCTTGCAACAGATTAATTATGTGGAAAAAAGTTTCTAAAACGCAGTGCTTATTATTTTTCAAATCAATAAATATTCTGTGGCCGTGTAATTGCCGAGCATTGAACGAACAACTGTAACTACATAACCTGGATTCCATCGGTGACTCCGAACGTTGCAGAACCAAGTTTCTCTGTACCATTAGGTGAATGTGAAATTCCTGTTAGTGTATGTGTTGTCGGTACTATTGCTCGAATTGGTAAGTTAGCCGACGGCGAAACGTCGCTAAATTTGAGGAGGAAAAAATAATGAAAAGTGGAAAAAAAAGAACAGTCTTCTAGAATTAGAAGGCATTTTAAAACCTTTCATCTGTGTTGAAACCAATTGTAGTGTTATTTGGAGAGCTCTGCGCTTCTCTTCTTCCTCTTCTTCTTCTTTTCATCACACTTACAAGTACACGTTTTATTTACTTTTGGGCAGAAACTTCAAACTGAAGCGTTTAGTACTTCCTATCAGGTAATTCTACCTTGTCTTCTGTTAAATCTTTTCATTATAGGTAGACAAAGAATTATAATCTAAATGTTTAGACCTCTCTATATTAAAATTCGGATTGATGAAAGGCAATGGCAGTGTTTCGACTTCAGGTAAACCGTAGACACATTTTACAGTGAGGGTTTGGTCACCCTGTAGGATTACAGCTGGATTTTGTCCGATTCGAATACGATTTTGAAATACTCCAGGTGCTGGCTGGAAAGCATAATGCTCATAGATTGTCATTTGTGGAGAACATAAAGTGATTTTTATGAGAAAAAATTGATTAAAATGGAAATCATAAACGTACCATTTGAGTAAGGCACGGATCATTGAAAACGGCGATTTCGATCACATATTGAGTTTCGCCATTTCCTCGCAAACGGCATTCTGGTCGTCCTTGAAAAAAATATGGTTGTGAATTTTTGATTAAGTAGTTAATTTTACAAGAAAAGGTGCTTATTTTCGGAGATGTCATGTACAATGGTCATGTAGGTTTTTTTCAATGCACATGATTGTTGGACTTATCGCTCCCTACAAGCTAACCAAGCTCTTGTGGTCCGCAAATTTGCAGTAGACTTAACTAGGAAGATTAAAAAAAGTGGATTGATAGAATGGAACTCTATGGAAAATCATTGTGTAGGCCAGTTGCGTGTTCAATCTCTTCTATAATGCTACGAATGGAGTCGAATTCTTGACGTGTACCTACAGAATGATCAACACTATGTAACTTCAATGATGCTGAGATATTGGCAAAACTCCGGACCGCAGGTGTCTACGGTGGGGAACGAATGCGCTATTTTCCTTTCCGGGGAGCAACGCGTTCACCACCACACCATGCGGGTCCTTCGTCCAGCACTGTGTATTCAATATTTATCCTATTCTTTGTTATTGAATTCTTTACTAGGACAACATTTACTTATGGGAAGAGGTTAGATTGCACATTCATAATTGAACTGGAGAAGTTCAAACCCATATAAACTCATGACCAGTCGGGGAGCTTAAGACAGCCTATAGTCACCAAGAAGTTGTTGGTGTTACACTAGATATTGCATGGAAATTTAGTGGGAAAAGGAATGGTCTACCTTTTCGAGGACGGCATGCTAAAGGAAGTTACGACCCTCTACTGAATTGAGGGGTGGGATGGTCATCATGCACCAAGTGTTAGCTCAGACAGCCACATTCGAACAATGTGTGTAGTGGTAGCTAGCTATACACTGCGAGAAAATTATCCTATACCTGAAACGCCGACCACAATCCAGTCCGTAAATTTTCCATTCGGATAGTAATTCGGATTGAATTTCACTTCTATTGTGATAAGTTGTGAGCCACAATGTGGTGTTACTGAAAAAGTGGACATGAATAAATAGAACAAAGGCTCAAGTGCAACGCCTTCAATTTTCTGCTAATCATCCATCATGAAATGCTGAAGTTTATGCTTGTTCTTATTTCTCTTGTTTTCTTTGTGAAAGTTCCCGGTGTTTTGTTCGATAAGTGGTGAAAGCCACCCTTTTCCTCTAAGAAATTGGTTTAGTCGCAATTTCAATGAAAATGCTGGGAACCTCTCCTATACAGACATTATAGTGTAACTATAAATGTATATTCGTTGAAGAAGAAGCTATTTGGGCCAAAAGCAAGAGTGGAAGTTCGAAAATCCTATCGAGACACGCTCCATTTGCACTAAGATGTTTTTAGAAAACTGATTTTTTTTATTTGTCTGATTCTGCACCGAAAGTGTAGTTGGAATATCCTACTAATTTTCTCTCGCTCCATCAAGTACACACTGCGATTTCGTTGTTTTTAAATAATGTCAGCTCTCGTGCACAGGCACAGATAAGCAGTGAAAAAGATGAATTTCAGCGTCCGTAAGGCCCTAAATAGGATTTAGCACACGCTAACAAAGCCTCTTATTCCTCCATGACCGACAAATTGTACTATGCTTCTTTTTGAAAAGATGTCTTCATGCCATAAAGTCTGCAGTCCTCCTATGGTGAGGACAGGGGTGGCCCTAGCAGAACAGTCTCAGAATGCCAGGAAAACAATTTATTCGACCCACGTTTGACGATATTCACGAAAAATACGAAATGCTCAACCAGCAGACGAATTCTACACCCATATCACAAGACCTTCTGTACAACGGATGCGATGAAGCGAATCGATTGACAAAAGTGCTGGTCCTCTCAATATGTGACCATACTTAGTTTTTCTCCATTTAGTATGGACAAACAAATCAATATCTTAACATTTACAAAGATATTTAAAATGTCGCCCATACCAGTTTTCAATCTAGATCGAAACTTAGATAACTGATTTCAATGAGTTACCCATCACCGCGGTCTGCTCACCATCCACACCCTTAAACAGCTACGGATAGACGCTAGAGACAGGATATTCATGGATGTCCATCTACAGAATACACAGTAGTGGGTTCATCTGCACAGGGCAAAATCGCCAAACTTACTCTAACTTCTGATGCCCAGTGAATCGCGAAGAATAGAAAATCGAATGCTGGTCATGAAAAGATAATGATGCCACTGTATTGGAAAGCCAACTTAATTAGGGATGCGTACCAAGAGCTTTGGTTTTTTCAACGACTCCGTAAAATAGGACTTTGTCATTTTCATAAATCGATGAGTTGCTCGCGTACAAGATTTGTAACATGCTATGAAGTCCTACTCTTTATCGAACAGTACAATTTTTTTGCAATGAGGGATATCTGCCATTTGAAAAAGACCTTAAATAAAATTTTTTTAGGGAAGTGAGAACTACTTCAACAGAGCTATTCACATTTTGTGGTAACGTTTTACAAAGTCATTCGACGTCAGCATGTGGGAAATGTAATAAAAATGAGAACGAAGATCGCTCTGTTTACGGACACAGGCTAATTAAAACTATTGATTCGAAAAGTCCACGGATCGTTACCGTCCGTTGAGAGTGGTGGTTGGAGAAGGCAGGTACTCACTATAATTTGCACTCGGGCGCCGGTAATTGGCCCGGCTATGGCCCCAGCAGGTTGGTTTGCTCCCACGGTTTGACTGCACAACGAGAAGTCTTTGGACAGTTGTATATTTATTTATTTAGAAAAATTAGCTACTGTGTATCGCATTTCGCTTACCTTGGACACGAGGTGGTATTGAGAATTGAGATCGGACGAAATCAAGACAGAGAAAATAAGCTATAGTAATATATATCATGGCATGAATCGTCGTTGTAACATCTTGTTTAGCAACTTTTAATGTTGTGTAAAATTGATATCGGAAAAAAAATAGTTTGGCAAAATGTGATAAAAAAAAGACAAGGAACGTTTTGCGGATCCAAGGAATTCATAGACCAAAGAGTGGTTCTCTAAGAAAACGGATAGCAAAATTGAAATCATGACAATGGCAACAGCTAAAAAACGATTTCGGTATGATAAGAGAGGGAAAGAGTGCGTGTGGCGCAGTGGTTAGATTCGCCCTGCAATATACCTGGCTTCGATACCGCGCCCCAGGTTCAACAAGTTTGCCACTTCTACGAGTCGGCGAAATGGCGCCAGACCAGTCTGAGAGGACAGCAGCACTGACTCGATATACAGGTAGGCTACCGCGAGTCATTGTATAGGTCACATAAGCATTCAATCACCTCTAACTATGAAGGCGAATACATGGCGCATCCTTCAGGAATTGATCAACGACGAGAGCTTTAGCTTTTTATTTTGAGAGAAAGAAAGAGAGATTTCGAGAATGTGATTTGACAACTCATGCGTATAAATCTGCTTCAATTGAGCCAGTTTTTGTGGAATTAGGTACAGGAATTCGTATGGCTAGCTATGCGTCGCATGTTGTAGTAGCCAGATTATTAGGACTAGAAATATTGGCACCCTATATTTTAGAACTACAAGAGCCTTGTGTAACGTTTTATTTAGTCGTATATTCAGATTTCGTAACTGTTTCTTTCTAGAAGTTTTATGTACTTTTTTAGAGAAAACTACCGCTCGATCATTCCTCAAACTTAGACTTCAAACGTTGATGAATTGGTATTGTTAGCAAGTTGTCACAAGAACTTTTACTTGTCACCCAATTTGAAATATTTCCTCAATATATGGCACCATCTCAGTGATATTGGACAGCTGTTCCATTGAAAACTCCTCTATACACAAACAAGTTAGTCGAGACATGACTGACCTCTAAACTTTCCCATAAAAATCCTACGATGAGGCAAAAAAACTCTTCCTATATCTAGATTTGCATTAATTCCATGCAGATGCTATGACTTGATATCAATAATATTGATATGGAAAACGGGAGAACGAGGAAAGTGAAATTCGAATTCAAGCAAAGAAATGGAAAGGAAATTGGAGAATAACGAACAATTAAAGGAAAACGAGAGATAATGTCATTTCGGATTGGTTGGCGCTATATGTAGAATATTGCAAAGCAATAAGTTTCGAGCTTTCGACGATTTGTGGTAGAAGATGCAGAATTACTATAGGATTGACAGCATTCGGAAGTTCTGTAGCATATCGCTGGCCAACTAGGGAGAGGGCGGCACTCTAGAGCGACAAGCTCGCTGTGACACGAACGAATCACGTTCCAAGGTCGTCGACGTATTGTAAATCAACAAAGGCAAATGTGAATCGTCATCAAATCTGTTGAAGCAGATCATCATCCACGTGACCGACAACAACACCCACAAACCCATAAATCGCGCTCGACTGCAATGGGATTGTAAAGACTGCGACGAGTGATGCAGAGGAGTGAAGTGGAAGGTCCTACTTTGTAGTAAACACTAATCAACAAATTTCCTGCTTAGTTAAAAAGTGACTTCAATAAAAAACTGAGTGCATCACAATATTTGTCAAAAAGGGTGCATTAAAAACCGACTGTGTATGATATTACACTAATTGTATTGTTCTATAACGACGACTTCTTGGCCCAAATATTACGTGAATCGGAAAGTGGTGGCAATGACGTTGAATCAACATCGTGTTCAAAGGTTAGTTGAAACTACTCCAAAGTGCGGAATTTTTTTCGACTAAGATATTTTCTAAGCAACTCCGATCAGCTGAGAAAAGTGAAAAAACATCACTGAAAGAATACCGTGTGACCTTTACGGACAAGCACATGGTGAGGTGAAATATACAATTATGCTTCGAATGGTCCTATGTTTACTAGTAATTGTCCTCACTCTATGAACGAAGGACATTGAACATCTAAGTAAACAAAGTCGAAATGCAAGGAATTCCTATATAGATGACTGAGTGCAGAAATACGTTCTTCATACTCGATAGTGTCAAATATTATTGAAGCGATTAAGGGCGCGTACGTTGTGAGTTATCGTCGATGATTAACACCGATCATCTAAGCAATAAACACTGTGATCCTTATTCTCTGCATCAAAAATTAGAAACATGCTTGAAGTTATGGTGTTATGGCACACAAGACGATACCGGACCCATCGGCATAGTCTTACAAGCTTTGTGGGCCAATGAAGACGAACAGATGAAGTTCATTCTATCGCACGTTTTCGCCACTCAGGAAATCCTTTCAATTTTCTTGCATAAATTGCAAACTGTGTGACTACCTACATTCAACTATCCTTAACCTTTTAACTGACTTGTGCGAGCATTTGCGGGTGAATAAGTGAACATTACAATAAGATCGATCATAAATACCACAAAAGGAGGTGATTACCACGAAGAGAAGCCTGCCAATATGAGTTTTCCCAATAACGTAAGAAAACGTCTTCGAGTACGTTCACCAAGCACGTTTTAGTCATATTACAGTCGATCTCTCAATAGAGACTAAGGGCTGGTTAGCACGATAAATCCTTATTAAGCAATTTTAAAGCATGAAATCAATGGAGACCAATTTTAATTCATAGATTCAGTTTTCCATAAGAATAATAAAGAACTAGATAAAATAAAAGAATGGGTGAACGATATTCATACAGAAGATGAATGTGTTGAAAGGCGATTCGTAATTGTAGAGCGCAGTCATCGTCAACTAGTGGGGCGTCGTCAGCCAGAAGTGGACCAAGAGCAAAGGAACAGCTATTGGGATCGTCGCGAACATAATGATAGAGGGAAATGAGCTTACGAAAGAGATTAGTTGTGAATTAAGAGTGAAATAGCTGTGGCAACAAATAAGGTAGCTTTATGAACTTTGACTCTTTAGTATTTCAAAGTAACCCGTTGCTACAGTATACAACGATAATAGACGGTCATGTGTATGACTTTCTTCCAGTGTTTCAAAACAGTGCACAAAACGTTTGATATGTCACAATATTATAAAATTTTGTAACGTTCTGAGTCGCTACAGAGAGATGTTGTAAGTCTACAAAGAATCTTGTTGAACGAGTAGAGTCAATACGAATAGTTTT